CAGTCACTTAGACACATCTCACTGGCAAGGGAGGTCATACATTGGTTTGTATGTGACAAGAGTCTGGCATACTGCTCAGATCAGCAATAAAAAAGTTTCTCCAGTGGAGATGATATGAGAAAGATGGTTAACTTTTAAGCTAAGGGTTTGAATTTTCACTAATTTGTTCAATGCTTTTGATATTACATTAATCCTTACCATCCATACAAATGTACATCAGTATGGATGTTTTCCACTCTGTTCTCCATACATTCTCTTTGGTACTGACATGACAGGTACTTCCCCTAAGGATTGGGGTGAGTTTTGCATGTCACCTCRCTCCCTCTRTCCCTCCCTCCCTCTCCAAATAAATGGGCATGACTAAAAATAAATAATAGTGCTGCAACAAAGATTCAATAAAAAACAGCAAAGGAACAACGTCAGTCTTACCTCTGATTGACTCGGAAATCTTAACGTCGTGAGACCCACAGGACACTGAGGGCGAGAAGCATTTAGGCACTCCCTCATTTTGTCAATTGTTTCCAAGGTCTACAGGTTTGAATGGAAAAATTACAGTTAAGTCTCAGTTGTTTAGTTTTGCCATATCTAAATTCCAGCTTATTAAATCATGTCACTTCCTTCCAAAATCTACTCTAAAATACAATGGTCCTACATTAGTTATAAATTAGAAGAAATCTATTTTTGTATATAAATCTAAAATTTAAATGCAATGGATTTATCTTGCACCCTTTGTGGCATTACAGATATCTTTCTTAAAAAAACTTTTCTGATGTGAAATACATGGAAGTAATCATCAGGTCCTAAATTCATCACTAAATAAAGTTAAACTTGCATTTATTGAAGGCTCTCAATGAATTAAATTATGAAGGGTCAAAAATGTCAAAAAGGCAAATTATACAATCACTGTGATACCACAGTGATGGAACAACCCCATTAAGGGAACATCTCCAGGAGACAGAAAATTTGGTCAGCTCCTAGAAACAAATTATTTATTATCTTGATTAAAGGGTGTCCATGTCTCTATTAAGACAACTTTTTTTTCCAGTTTAGAAAGTGTTCCCTAAATGAAGTCATAGTGGAAAAATTGAATTAAAGGTTGACAGTGAAGAATAATTTTGTGAAGCAAAAGACAGAGAGACATACAGGCATTTCCTTTATAGCTTCAGCTGATCTCCATAGTAACACAGCTCCACAGAGATCAATCAATGACCCATCAAGTAAAACATTGGACTCATCTTCAACCTAAACAAGAATAATAAGTGTTATTAACCCTTAACACCCTAACATCAGCCTGCATATTCTCCATACTGTTCTCTATACATTTCCTAGGGTGCTGACAAGGAGAATTTGTTTAACATTCAAAACCTTTGTCCTCTACACCCTTACATCAGTATTCATATTCTCCATACTGTTCTCCACTCATTTCTGAAAAGGCTGATCAGGAACATTTGTTTAACAATCAAGAGCTTCTTTAGTTGGAAATCATTTCTTTTATTTTCTCATGATTCAGGGGAGATATTAGAGGTTATTTACTCTTAGAGGTCAGATGGCCATTTACATGTTTGAAGGGTGAAAAGGGTTATTGGTGCTATTGATATTATTGACACATTGTGATCATAGCAATAATAAATAATAAATAATAATAATAAGTAATTTAGCAATGGACATCCACTGGGTGGCTCTTCTTGTCCACTGTTTCCAGATCGAATTGGAATTTGGAATGTTGGTTTTCAATAAACAGAGGTCTATCTATCATTTAGTACTGTAAACTACTGGAACTTACAGTCTTCCCTTTCTCAGTGGTCGACCGTGTTCTACGAAGTCCATATACATTCCCACATACTGATATTTCACGCCATATTGTGGGCTGACAAGAAGGACCACCCTTGGGATTCATTAGAAGAATGCCATTGGTGGTCAGACCATCCATCAAATTCTCTTCATTTTGCCACTTGGGGGCTTTTTCCTGTTGAGCAAAATCATGATGTAACTACTTTGACAAAATAAAAAAAAATGTTCTTCTGCATTAACGCCTTACAAACACTGCATTCAAACTCCTGCAGAATAAAAATGACTTGAACTTGAAGGACTAAAGCATTGCAAAATAGAGTAAAATTTAAAAAATGCCAATTTCTGCTTTAATAAAAATTAGTATAACAAGAATCAAGTATTTTTTTTTTTGAAAACTTATTGAGATGTATATTTTGAAAAAGTAAAGATATGAACTTACTCCTAAAAATATATTACTAGATTTATCAAAACCAGCTGCAAACACCCTGGCGGTATAAGGTGGTTCTCTATCGACAACAATGCGACAAGCATATCTGGAGATAGTGCTCTTCTGTGTGTCTGGGTTCAAATCTGAACGTTTATTTCCAGGAGCTGTGTCAGTCACCACAAAGTCTATTTTAGAATCAGCAGAACGGCCAATCTGCAAAAAAAGAAAAAAAAAGTCCAGTAAAAACTGAATTCTATACTGTTCATCTAGCTATGATAATCCTCATTGTAAACCTAAAACTTAATATAACACAATAATTCCCCAAATGGTAACAGTTATCTCTCACAGTGACCCAGATAATGCCAATGCAAAAATACACGCACATGTCACTTTGCTTTGTGGTTACTGGTAAGTTTAACTTTCATACTTTCTTGAATTTACATTTCCCTAATTTGTAGCTTTAGCTGCCTGGAGATTCCAATATAGATTCTCAGTTACAAGAAAGGGGGCGAAAGGGAAGGACTTCAGAGGATGGACAAATTGGAAGTTTGGTACACATGCACAAATTACTGACAGTTTTCATGAGCTTTCAGTTAGTCTAGGCAAGGATGCATAAGATAACTCAATTAACACTAGAGGGTGCTGTGTGAACAATTCTCAAGACAAAAAATAAATGAAAATCAATTTCATGAAGACAGAGTAAGTGTAAAAATTCATACCTGAAACATATCAGTATCGGAATCCCTCCGGTACTCAACAACAACTGCATTGCCACGCGAAAGAGTGTAAGACACACTATGGGCTTCCGAATTTACAATCTGTTTGATTTATCATTCATTAGTATCAATTCAAGCTAAAAATTCAATTACTTAATTATTTACATGTAATGTTAAGATATTGGTATGTGATGATTGCTGTAAGATATATTTATATAATTTAATTATTTGATGGTTTAACATATAATAAGGGTATATAATTTGCAAATTCTGCTGTATTTTTCTAAGCCTCAAAGGGACAAGGATAAATGCTACAAACACGCAAAATGTCCACTTGTAATATATTATGCTTGACCATTGAATAAGGGATTCATTATTCCACTGCTATTTCATTTTCTATTACTTATGATTTCAGTTTTTGAAATACATTTAAGGCCTAATCTGAGCATCATGTGGATCATAAAAGATGTGCACAAAAGACCGAAAAAACAGAAATGAAACCATTAAAGTATTCTTTATGACTAACAAAAAATTTAAGTGTAGTTTAAGGTTAGTTGTTTAAAAGGTCAAGCCTAAAAAATGGGGAAAAATATTTGGGTGGCTCAGTAGTGCCAATGACTGTGTTGCTTATCTTTCCATCTTTATTTTATAGACATCCTGTCCTACAGTGTAATACTGTGGAATAAGGGAGGAATTATTAAGACTTGTATTACCGGTATAACATACATGTGAGTGAACAAACAAATAAATTAAACCATTAATTATATTTTATATTATATCCATTTCTTTTTTTAACTACTCTTCTACAACTGGCTGTTACTTAGCTGAGTCACCGGTAAAACAGTCAAACAAATTCTCGAGAAACTTGCAACCCTGTGGCACCCCTCAGGATTTAAAAAAAAAAAAAAAAAATGATTGGTATAGCTGGGACCATAATCTGCACAGATAAGAGACACACCTGCATTCCAGTGTTAGAAGAAGCCAGGTGCAATTTGTAGGGTTGCACTCCTGAGGGGGATCCTTTCTTTCGCAAAATAAATGAGGTTCGGTGACGGCGCTTGCGTTCTCCATCCAGCAGAGAACCATTGTAACTGACCAAGAATTACATAATCACACATTACCACCACAACATTATATATTAAAAAAAAAAAAAAGATCACAAGTTTAAAAAGAACTTCTTTAAAAACTTTCAAAAGAACTCTTCTGAGTAGTGACACATTAAGCTGACTAAACTTACCCTAGAACCACCAGCGCACCATAAATGGTGTCTACGTCATCATTGTTACTGGATGTCATACCTTCATCTTTTACAGATTTGAGTCGCTTTACCTTTTGTTCCCCATAATTCCCATCCTATCATGCAAATAAATAAATAAAAACAAAAAAACGAAACGTATTAATAGACAAAATCAAGAACAAAAAAAGAAGACCCCATAAAAGGGGAATTCAGAATGTTTTCTATGTTCCACACTGTCTACAAGATAAAAAACATCTTTCCATGGTCTATTTCTTCACCAAACTCAAAATTTACCACCCTTTATATTCTAGTTATGAACAACATCTTGATCATATTATTTCTAGCATTAAATGCATGCCAGTTTTCATGATCATGTTTTTGGCTTTCACAGAATTAAAACAAATTTCAAAAAAACTAAATTAATTATTTCCTCAAACCTGAAGTATACGGTTGTACTGCAAGCTTTTTATGTCTAAATAAGAGGACAAAATTCAAGAAATGTAGGTCTTAAATATCAAAATATCATTCTTACTGATTCAAAGAAGACACAGAAAATTAAACTTCACCTTCCGAACAGAACAAGAAGATCAAAATTGCTAGATTACACAGTGTTTTCCTCTTTTTGAAGACAAACAATTGATAACAATATCTTTGATTTCCTTCAATGGTTAGTCACAAAAATTTTCAACAAAAACAGATAATTTTTACAGCTGATAGTCAATTACTGTAGAATTGACTAATATCCAATCAGATGAGGGTTAGGGTCTGGGATTCCTGGTTTTAATTTAATCGAGAATCTTCTCGCTATATATTGACATTGACTTCACGCAGTAGTTCAGCAGCATTGTGAAAAGATGAAATGATCTGATAAAGCAGCTATTATCAAGAGCCAGAAATCTGTGGGCAGCACTTACACTTTGCTGCGTCTAATGAAATTGAAGTGTTTCACGCAGTGTTATTATTTAAGATACATGTACATGATTTAAGGCTGTGTTGTAACATAAATGAAATCTTTCACAATTTAAAGCAAGTGTCCATAGATTTATCTAAAATTCATTCATTACTTCAAACTGATTATTGTCAAGACAAATAATTAAAAATTTCAATGTTTTCAAATGCAATCTCATCACCATGTCATTTTTACATCTCACATCAACATGCACTGTATGCATGGAAATATTTTTTCTTGATTTTAGAGAAATATCACTCTAATTACAAAATTGTATCATCGCGAATAAATAACTTCCAGATGGAAATAATACAACGGTTATTGGTAAATTACTGTTGAAATCATAGAGATTGTCCTCAAAAATCCCTTTTGTCCAGAAAAAAATGTTGTACACCATAAATTAATCATAAATTTTTGTGTGATGTCTGCAAAATGATGTTCAAAGTCTCTCATTACAATGTTTAAAACTGAAATTATATTCCCAATTTTCTACAACACGAGAACTAAGGACATGCTCACTGGAAAGATAACATTCAGTTGTAAGGCCTTCGACAAGTAATGGATGATAAGGTGGAAAATCGTGAGACATTCTGTAGAAATGCTGTAACCACACTAATTCTTATCTAAAAAAGGAAGTACTAGAGAGAGGAAAATATTTTAATCAAGCTGTTTCTTCGAAAGAAGAGCTCATTTTACCAATTATGATGTTTAACAAAATTGCTATCTTCTTGAAGACATTCATAACACTGATATTGTTAAATTCCATACTATTTTGTTAATTCAGTGTTACCATTTTTCCCAGAGGAACAATCTCATGGCCAAAAATTCTATGCAGTGACAAACTTCCTTTTTGAATTTTTCAAAGAATTGTTTACAGTGAGCATACAGCAAATAATAACAGGAGAAAAAACCCAATGGAAATTTGAACCTATGAAGTACCAGCCAGTTGCTTAAACATGCAGTAACTGAGAGCTTATATCAGCCATTCTCATGTACAATGACAACGGCACATCGTTTAGTGAAACTGTTGGTTGAAAAATCCTCAAAATGTCGATATATCTGCAGTCACAAGTTTAAAATGAGAATAACGTAATTGTATGTATCAAATGATAAATTTATGACACATTTTACCGATGGTTTCTCACAAAAAAATCAGTCCTTTTTTGTTCAAGCTTTTTTAGATACAATAATCAAGTGAAACTTATTTTCAAAATCCCACTCTCTTAAATATGATTATAACAATTTGAACAAACTTGGTAAAATAGAGACATTTTTTCATGACTCTATAAAGAGAAAAATTACTCATTGTGGGAGGACCACATAGGAAAATATTTGGTTTAAGGTCATTCTGCCAGCTCAGTGAGGTCATCTCCAACAGCCAAATATTTTCATGTCTGGCCCAGCCAAATTCCATGAATAAGTATTCTATATTATGACCACTAAATGCTCAAATTTTTCAAAAATTTTGTTCTAACTGATATACGACAGATGCACACACATGGGACCAACCGCGAAAAAATCGTACAATATGAACTCATCCTTTAGTTGCCTGTTGAGAACAAGAAGCTCACATTTCACTGACAAATCTGACTCACTTTCTCATGCTCATTTTTTAACGTTGTTTTTGCAACACAACTGTACAAGTGTGGGGCTGGATGGCATTTTCCGAACTGGCTCAGCTCAACATGTCCAACACTACACACGTCAGCTCTCAGTGTGGCTTTCTGTATGATTGCGTGAGCGGGGCCAAGAGGGTCATATTATTCATTCATCAAAATGAATGACCAGATTTGTTGTAATGCTGATGTCCAACTCTAACGAAATACAGTTGACATTGCAGCATCAAAACTATCTTGAAGACTCCCAAATACCCTCTAATCACACTATTAATTAGAGTTATGTTCACTGAAGCCATGTGGTTATACAGATGTCATATCCTGGACTCTACTTGATATCAGCCAATCACAAAACCTTGATATTGCCGAAAAATTTATTGGAGTATATGAATATATAAAGGCTTTGATCACATTTAGATGAGAGCAAAAACTACTTTCCACTGTTAAAGATGTGAATTTCGTTCTGGTATAACCTAGCTAAACTGCATTTTTATACTGATTCCTTGAAAGTTGTTAACATTTCTCAAAATTTTTTCTGAAATCACCCACAATTGGCGAGACTGATGCAAAGACGAAAGATAAACAATCATCAATTCCACAAATAACTTCACTTCAGTGTGTTCTTTACATTTTACCAAATATACTTTCAAAATACTGAAATCTTAAAAGGTACCGATCAAAATTAGTTTCATTTAATTTTCAGTTATGCAAGAGAAACAGCTGTTGAAATGCTAATTTGTATCTCATAGAAATTTTTAAGTGCTGTGATTAAATGACCCCCCGGGGAAATGCGATTCTACGAAATCCAATTCATGTTTTCTCAAAAATTCCTTCCAAAATCGTTTAAAACACAGAATTCGATGATATTCCCGTGACTAAGGTGGCATTTCGAGTGCAGTAGCTAAAAAATAAAAAGTGGACTGTATTGTATGTTTTAATTACTCATCATCAGATATCGGTGCAGACAATACAGCGCTAGGCTATATTTGCAACGCTCACGTTAAAATTTGCGGACCAGGAGTAGAAAATGAAACAAATCCCTGAGATTTTCGGCGATTAGTTTTGACACACGCCATTCAAATCATTCAAGTAAAACTTTAACCCTGAGAAAAACCCCTTTCTCTTCGACGAAAAAGCGTGTTCCTCTAAAAACAAGCTACAATTTGGGTAGAAATGAAATTGAAAGCCGAAAGAGTTCGTAATTTTGCGTTTGTAATCGTACTTGAAGAGATAATCGATGAAAAAACAATGTATCTTACCCCATAAATTATTTCCTCTGTAGTTTCTGTCATATAGCACACTAAAATTTCTCAAAAAAGACGAAGTTCACATCGCCTGCGAAGACCCGCCGTCAGACCCGAACATGGGGGACTTCGAGGTATGAGTTTGGGCAAGTTGGGCGGCTAAGAATATACCCACCGGGGGAGAAGACAGGTGATATGTCTTTGCTGTTCGATAAGGCTTGAATTTTCCAAATAATTTCCGTTTTTGAATTCGTTTTCATAGAAACTGTTCTTCAACGTTTTCCTGGTGGATATGACGGAATGTCAGGACAGGTAATTACTTTCTCTTTTCGGCTTAGATTTCCTACCCCCTCCTCACCCCCATAGACAATACTGTTGTTCTGCTTACGACGCGCAACAAGCACGCGGTCTTTATTACAAACCGGAAGTTCGTACGAGAAATAATTTAGTTGTTAGTATAATTTCGAACACTACAACACTTCAAGTGTAACATATGCAAGATGCTGTTTCTGTTACTTTCCTATCTTTCATATCAGGGCTCATAGGAGCGCGCTTTCTTTCTGAGGTACAAGACGGCTGGTTTTGCTTGCACGTAAATCGAATGAAGAGATATTTCTTTAAGAAAAACATTGATCTCAAATGGAAGCAGCAGACAGAGAAAAATAAAAGGAGCCTACCTTTTTTGTATTGAACATAATAGGGTATGAGGACATCACTATCACTCCATCCAACTCAATTTTTTAAAAAGGGGCCTCCCCCCGAAAAAAAACACAGACAAACAAACAAACATCAATGTCTTTCTGGCCACAAAGGAGAGCCGCTCTCCTTTAGGTGCGGCACCTCCAATAAAAGAGAACAACCAAGAACTTGAGCAGAACCACTATGATAGCTAGGAGAGAGGAATTTTCATCACAATGGGAAATTTGACTGTCTTCCATTTTCCTTGAATAATCCTTTTAGTGGCAAAGATCACGGTCACTAGTGGCCACAAAGCCTAAACGGCAATTAGTTGCAAAAATAGCAAAGCGGCCGCAAGTGACCAAAATGACAAAACGGCCACTAGTGACAAAAGTGACAACACAGTCACTGTACTAGCGGAAAAAATTAAAAAAACGGCCACTGCTGGCGAAAATGGCAATGTGGCCACCAGTGCCCAGAATGGCAAAATGGCCACTAGCGCCTAAAATGGCAAAACAATCAGTGAAAGGTTCCGGCAATTCTGCTTTTTTACAAAAAGATCAACTCTCCTAATTGAAAAGAGCAGAAAAATTAACTTTCTGCATTTATTTTTCATAGAACAACATGCAAAATTGTTACCTTTTTTGTTAATGCTAGTCGATTAGGTGAAAGGTTAAAAAAGGAACCTTTTTAGAGAAAAAAAGGCGGGTATTTTAAGCTTTCGACTGGAAATATTTTAACGTCAATATTGTCCGCTTTTCATCCATTTCTCATTTTATTAAACAAAACTTTAAAGCACGAAAAAGGCACCTTTTTTTCAATTTGAAGCGATCTCTTCAAAAGCGCCAAAAAGGTACCTTTTTGCGGTTTAGAAACGTTCCTATCAAAAGTTAATTTTTCTGCTCTTTTCAATTAGGAGAGTTGATCTTTTTGTAAAAAACCAGAATTGCCGGAACCTTTCACTAATTCAAAACGGCCACATGGTGGACAAAATGGCAAAACTGTCACAAGTGGACAAAATTGAAATACGGCCACTAGTGGCGAAAATGGGTAGACGGCCACTAGTGGCCAAAATGACAAAACGGCCACTAATGGCCAAATTAGCAAAATAGCCACTACTGGCCAAAATTGCAAAATGGCCACTAGTGCTAAAACGGTGAAATAGTCACTAGTGCCAAAAATGGAAAAACGGTCACTAGTGGAAAAAATAGCTAAGCTGCCACAAGTGGACAAAATTGAAATACGGCCACCACTGGCCAAAGTGGAAAAAGACGGCCACCAGAAGCCAAAATAGCAAGACGTCCGCTAGTGGCCAAAATGGCAAGACGGCCACTAATGTTCCTAAATGGCAAAACGGCCGCTTGTGGCCGAAATGGCAACATGGCCGCTGGTAGCCATACTGGTAAAACGACCGCTAGTGGCCAAAATGGTATGACGGCTAGTAGTGACCAATCTGGCAAAACGGCCGCTAGTGGCTAAGATTGGAAACATGGACACAATTGCCAAAAAATGGGAGAACGGCCGCTAGTGGTCAAAATTAATGGAAAAATAGCCACAAGTGGCCGATATGGTAAAGCGGCCATTAGTCGCAAAATTGCCAGACGACCAATAGTGGCCAAAATGACAAAACAGCCAATAGTGCCAAGAGAGAAAAAAAAAGGAACTAGAAAGTGGCAAAAATGACAAAACGGCTACCAGTGGCAAAAATGGCAAAACGGCTACTAGTGGCCAAACACTTAATAACAGCCACTAGTGGCTAAAATGGCAAAACTGCCATTAGTGAGAAAAAAACAGCAACTAGTCGCCAAAATGGTAAAATGATCACTAGTAGAAAAACTGGCAAAACGGCCACTTATGGACAAAATAGCAAAACAGCCACTGGTGGAAAAAATGGCAAAACGGCCACTAGTGGAAAAATTGGCAAGACGGTCACTGGTTAACAAAATGTCGGAACGGCCATTAGTGGACAAATTGGCAAAACGGCCACTAGGGGACAAATTGGCAAACGGCCACTAGTGGACAAAATGGCAAAACAGACACTAGGGGACAAATTGGCAAAACGGCCACTAGTGGACAAAATGGAAAAACGGCCACAAGTGGACAGAATGGCAAAACAGCCACAAGTGGACCAATTGGCAAACCGGCCAATAGTAAACAAAATGGCAAAACGGCCGTTGGTGGAAAAATTGGCAAGGCGGCCACTAATAAGTCTCCTCTCGCAGCCGTTCTTTGTCACGGGATCTCTTTGTCTCCCTTCCCACAAACGGCTGCTCGTGTTGACCAAACATTCCACTCCAGCCGATTGACCAATCAAAGTGCCGCCTCCCGAAATCTGGAAGGCTCATAATATATTCATCTCGCCAGTGCGTGGGAACATGCGGCGAGCGATTATCGGACTGACGCGTCGAGTAGGTAGCAGTATTAGCTGATGCACTAGAAGATTGAGGCGTACAAGACAGAGAGGTTCAACTGTAGGACTTGGAGGCAAAGAAGTACATTTGCTAGGGTCGGTGAAATCGAGAGCTTTCGCTACAAAAGGTCGCTTTGCCTTCGAGTCGCTGTCAAGTGATTGTTCAAGTCATTTAACCCGGTGATCTTGAATATAAACATAGCCAGCTTTCAGTTAATTTTTTAGCTCTTGGAGATGGTTTTCTAATTTCTTAATGTTGGCAACTTTTCTATAGCATTTGAGACATCTATATGAAGTAGAATTCAAATAGATGTCGAAAGCTTCCAAGTTTATACCCAGTGCTAAACTTATGACGCTTGCTACATCAGCCCATCTTCCGAAGATTTTAACTCTTTCTTAGTCGAAACTGTTGACGTACTCAGGAAACACCCAAATAAATTACTGAAAGTTACTTTCTTCGGAGTATCACCCATAAAAATTGAAAAATAATGACATATTTAGTTCTAAAAACGTTGAATTTGACGAAGTTTAGAGAGATGTTCCGGGTAAACTCGCTTGCAACTTTTCGCTTCCTGATTGGCGGATCCCGAAAAACTGCTCAACTTTCATTGGTTATAGGAAACAAAAGGGAATGGAATGTTTGGTCAACACGAGCAGCATTTTGTGGGGAGGGAGACACAGGGAGACCGAAACAAAGAACCGCTGCGAGAGGAGACTAGCTACTAACGAACAAAATGGCAAAGCGGCCACTAGTGGACAAATTGGTAAACCGGCCACTAGTAGACCAAATGGCAGAACAGCCACTACTCGACAAGTTGGCAAAACGGCCACTAGTGCAAAAAATGGCAAATTAAACGGCCACTCGTGGAAAAATTAGCAAAACGGCCTCTACTGGACAAATTGGCAAAACGGCCATTAGTGGACAAAATGGCAAAACGACCACTAGTGGAAAAATTAGCAAAACGCCCACTAGTAAACAAAATGGAAAGATAGCCACTTCTGGACAAAATGGCAGAACAGCCACTAGCGGAAAAATTGGCAAATGGCCCCTAGTGGACAAAATGGCAAAACAGCCACTAGTGGACAAATCGGCAAAACGAAAATTAGTAGACAAAATGGCAAAACACCCACTAGTGGACAAATTGGCAACACCGTCACTAGTGGACAAAATGGCAAAACTGCCACAAGTGGCCAAAGTGGCAAAATAGACACTACTGGAAAAATGGAAAACCAGTCACTAATGCACAAAATGGCAAAACAGCCACTAGTGGACAAAATAACAAGACAGTCACTAGTAGACAAATTGGCAAGACGGCCACTAATGGACAAAATGGCAAAATAGTCACTAGTGGACAAATCGGGAAGACGGCCACTAGTGGACAAAATGGCAAAACAGCCACTAATGGATAAAATGGCAAGACAGTCACAAGTAGACAAATTGGCAAGACGGCCACTAATGGACAAAATGGCAAAACAACCACAAGTGGATAAAATGGCAAAACGGCCACTATTGGACTAATCGGAAAAACGGCCACTAGTCGACAAATTGCCAAAACGGGCACTAGTGGACAAATTGGCAAAACGGGCACTAGTGGACAAATTGGCAAAACGGCCACTAGTGGACAAATTGGCAAAACGGCCACTAGTGGACAAATTGGCATAACGGCCACTAGTGGACAAACTGGGAATACGGCCACTAGGGGACAAAATGGCAAAACGGCCACTAGTGGAGAAAATGGCAAAGCAGTTACTAGTAGATGAATTGGTAAAACAGCCACTAGTGGAAAAATGTGAAAACGGCCAGTATTGGACAAATTGGGAAAACGGTTACTAGTGGCCAAAATGGCAAAACAGGGATTATTGGCCAAAATAGAAACACTGCCAGTAGTGGCCTTAATGGAAAGCCGTTACCAGTGGATAAAATGGTAAAACGGCCACTAGTGGCGAAAATGGGAAAATAGGCACTAGTGGCCAAAACAGAAAAACTGCCAGTAGTGGTCGAAATAGCAAAACTGCCATTAATGGAGAAAATGGTAAAACGGCTACTAGGTGGACAAAATGGCAAAATGGCCAGTAGTGGCCAGGATAGCAAAGCTGCCAGTGGTGGCCATAATGGCAAAACCGCCACTAGTGGTTAAAATGGCAAAACGGCCACCAGTGGCCAAAAGGGCAAAACTGCCACAAGTGGCCAAAGTGGGAAAACGGCCACTAGTGGATATAATGGCAAAACGGGGAGTAGTGGCCAATATGGCAAAAGTGCTACCAATGGCCATAGTGGGAAAACCGCCACTAGTGGTTAAAATGGAAAAACGGCCACTAGCGGCCAAAATGGCAAAACTGCCTCTAGTGGTCAAAGTGGAAAAACAGTCACTAGTGGATAAAATGGCAAAAACAGCCACAAGTGGACAATGTGGCAGAATGGCGAAGAGCGGACAAATTGGCAAAACAGCCACTGATGGACTAATTGGCAAAACTCCCACTAGTGGAGAAATTGGCAAAACGGCCACTAGTGGACAAAATGGCTACTTGTAGCCAAAATGGGAAAACGGCCACTAGTGGCCAAAATGACAAAACGGATTCTAGTGGCCGAAATGGTAAGTCGGCCACCAGTGGCAGAAATGGCAAAACGGCCACTTATGGTCAAAATGGCCACCAGTGGCCGACATGGCAAGATGGCCACTACTGATTAAAAGGGCAAAACGGCCACTAGTGCCCAATATGGCAAAATGGCCATTAGTGGGCAAAGTGCCAAAATGACCACTATTGGCCAAAATGGCAAAATTGCCATTTGTTGTTAAAATGGTAAAATGGCCGCTGGTGGCGAAAATTTTAAATTGGCCGCTAGTGGTCAAAGCCTTAAAATGGCCATTAGCGGTAAAAACACTAAAACGATCACTAATGACACAGATTGCAAAGCAGCCACTAGTTCTTAATACAGCAGAACGGGTATTACGGGCATAAAAACCTGCTTTTTCTGGGGGGGGGAGGGAGGCCCTTTTTAAAAAATTGAGTAGGATGGACTGCTAGTGTTGTTTTCAAACCCCTATATGTTCACTACAGAAAAGTGGAAGCTTGATTTTGCTGTCTGCTGCTTCCGTGTAAGATCAATGGGTTTTTTTTTAAAGTAACTGAATCTTGCATATGTTACACTTAAATTGTTGTAGCATTCGAAATTTTGGCCACCAGTGGTCGCTAGGGGGTTTTGGCCACTAGTGGCCATTTTGGGGTCTTGGCCACTAGTGGCTGTCTTGGGGGTTTTGGCCCTAATAATAATAATAATAATAAATAACAAATAATTTAGCAATGGACATCCATTGGGTGGCTCTTATTGTCCACTGTTTCCAGATCGAATTGGAATTTGGAATGTTGGTTTTTGTGGAGGGAGGAAAACCGGCAGACCTGGAGAAAAACCCTTGGAGCAAGGACGAGAACCAACATCAAACTCAACCCACGTGACACCAGGTCCGCGAATCGAACCCGGGCCACAGTGGTGGGAGGCGAGTGCTCCCGTTAGTGGCCATTTCGGAATAGTGGCCACCTGTGGCCGTTTTGGGACATTGGGGACTAGTAGCCGTTTTGGGATTTTGGCCACTGGTAGCTAAAGGTACAAAATAGTCACTAGGGGTCAAAATCCCAAAATGGCCACCAGTGGCATAAAAACCCCAACCACCACTTCTGCAATTTTTGCCACCAATGGCTGTTTTGCCATTTTGGCCACTAGACCAATAAATCAATCATTCATTTCTGATGTTCAAGACAAACCTGCCCTCAAAAATTGCTTTTTGAATAAAAAAAGTTTCTTTAATAGATTAATTTTAGTGGAGAAACAATCCTTGCCAGTGAGCAGCAAATAAAGAAATTACTGAAAAGAAGCTCCAGAGTTTAACAGGATTTAAGCCCATGCCTCTTGGGAAACAGTCCGGCGCAACTAAGCTATCAAGCACTATATTTAGGGTACAACAAATTTTTGTAGGCAAATTCCATTTCTTTTTAGTTTTTTTTTTCCAATTATAGTAAAGAGGCATCTCTTGTTGAAAACTCTATTATTTTGTCTGGCAGCAACATGTATTAATGCTTGCATACTTATAAGGAATAAAAATGATTATGCAAAGTTTATTGTCTTGATTGACTTATGTAAGATGACAAATAATGTTGAGTACTAGATGACCAGAATTCCTGTGAACTGGCATGAATGAGCACAGGTCACCCAAAATCATAGTTCCTCACTAACAAAAGTGGTAATAAGTTTTCTTTCTTGTCTCTGTGTAATGATATTTAATGTAGTGAATTAAAAATTGAATTCATTTCATTCAGTGGAAATATTCAGTCTCAATCTCTAACTTTTGCTCTTACATGCTTCTCTAATTTGCATCAGACTTCTTTCTAGATTGGACTTTAAAGAAGGGGGGGGTTGTGGGGTGTCAAAAGGTCCTCTTGCATCACTCTGATTACTGTCCCTCTACAATTTCTCTGAAGTCTCTCTATGAAGCTTCAACAAGAGCTGACAAAACACATCTAAAACTTGACGGGACAAAAAGCCTGTGCCGCTACCGGCTAGATTACATGTCATCTTAATATGCCCAAAGTTGTCTTGACTCGGTTCTTTCTCTTCCTATTCCAGCCCAGGTTTGATATCATATGATATCAACAAGCTCCACTTCAAAGATGAGTTTTGACTGAGGCGGAATACTTTGTCTGAGTTAAAGAAATTGTTATAGTCAAACCTGTTTAAGCAGCACCATTAGGCGCGTAGCGTCCTCTACACATATATGCACATGTGTACTTGAAGTGACCAGAAAAATTTGAAAACAATGTTGTGTTTGCACCAAGTTTGCTCAAAATAAGGGCAAGACGCTTTGTTCTTTGCTTGTATTCACACAACTATTTCAAACAAGAAATAAAGAACGCAGTATTTTTTGCTCAGTTAACTTAGGTTTCTAGATCATATTATCTACTTGTGCGTACTTGAAAAAGATAGATAGATAGATAGATAGTTTATTAGAATATCGAACATGGCAGTCCGTAGACTGAATTGCATTACAATTACTTAGAACTAGGAATAAATAGAATTGAAATTATAATAAAACCACAAATGCGAAAAACTCTCTATATATGAATATGTACAAACTAGTCTAAAAAAAAAAAAAWTTTATGTACACATACTTGGAATAAAAGTGTTCTTAAAACGATTTGTATGTGTACGGGGCATGGCATAAGCCCTGGACTGTCTTAGATTATATCTGTGTTCTCTCTTAGAATTGACCACGTTATGCACCTGACCACGTTAAAATGACCACGTTATGCGCCTGACCATATTCAGTGGTCAGGGTCAGTTGTCAAACTTGTTTCCCATTTATAACTGTAATTTTCCCCTCTTTTTAGTGGTAATCTCTATGAAGCAGTTGCTGTCAACCTTTACCAAGTCCCAAACAAAAGTCATCTGTTTGAACAGTCACTGGTAGCAGGACCACTCAAATAAAACCAACAGTAATCTTTCAAGTAATTTTCAATTCATGTTTTCTTCAAAATCAAAGCAAGTAGTATTTATTCGAGTGAGGTTCTGTTCATTAACTGGTCAATTATGGCATCAGGTGGTGTTGCGTATCCTTTTTTTTTTTATGAAACCCCTTGTCCATGGAACCTGTATTAAGCTGTCACCCTGCCAGTCCCCATGGTTGACAAGTTCTGAGAATTTGTATTGCAGAAAATTTATCTTAGACTTTCAAGTGTTGGAAAAGGATACTTGGCGTCAATGTTTCCTTTCTTTCCATATCCCCACTCTGGCTCAATGGTCAGTTCTGCCTTTTCACCTTTGGACATTGTCATGAGACCTTCATCCCACTACACACAAAATTAAAAGATCCCAGATTTGTGAATTCAAGGCTATGACATAGAGCACATTCTCTACTGTGAAAAGTGTCAATTTGTATGGGAGGCTAGCATTCTTCAAGTTAAGGGTAGTCACTATCTGCCAAAGAGACTGGATAAAACCATATGGCAGAGAACAGTGAAAAACAAACTGAAAGAAATGGGTATCTTATAGTGTAAAGAACAGCCTGGAGCATATATAATAGGGTGTCAGGTACATTTACAGCTGTAAGTCTTGCCTAATAGAACATTCACTGAATATGTAATAAGCTTTGATTGGCAGCTTACAAAGTGACCACACCATTGCATTGGGAGAAACTTAATCAAAAAGCAGTTTACCATGTAAATCCTATGCAAGGGAAAAAAACATGCAAGAGCTAGACTTCATGATATCATAAAATTTTACCTTTTAGTTTAATCTTCTGTTTACTTGTAAAATGCATACTAGCTGGAGTGTACCCCTGACCTCTCAGTACAAAAAATGTCCACTTTTGAAACTATTGTGGTTGGAAAGAGTATTTCTGGTCAGAACCTAATTTTCTCTGCCTGCTCTTATTTAGCTCAGATTCAAAATAACAGAAATCCTTGGCTCCCTTCTAGATGGAGACTGGGTTGAAATAAATTTTGTACCAAAGTTTAGCTCTGTGCAATTCAAACTTTTCCAATTTCAATTATCCTTTCTTCTCCATAAGCATTCCGCTTTGTACAGATCTATACTCACCCCTCGAATCACAAGTCCCTTCCCCACTTGGAAAATAAATGCCTTCCCCTCTCCCTGGCTCTTCTTCTTAGCTCCTGCTATAAAATTCCAGCCATGATTGGAAAAAAAAAAAGGTTGTTCAGAAGTACATGTACTTGATATTTTAATTCATCCATTACATTGTGTTTCAACTTGGTTAGGAAAATTCAGAATGATAATGATTACAACTTGAGCTAAAGGATTTCTTTGGAGGCCTTTGAAAACATGGACAGGAAGTACATATACATACATGTATGCTAAACTCCTCAGTTGGATCATTGTGGTATGTTCCTATAATGGTTGGTATGCAGTTAGATAATTTACATTTTTACAGGGTTAAGAAAAAAAATCTGTACAAACTATTGAGAGCAACCATAAATTATAAGAAAATTAACCATACACCATTGACTTCTTTATTGAAAGAATACCCTAAACAAGGATCAGGTATAGGATCAAGAGAAATGCTAACACAATCCTGATTGTTTTGAGCACATCCCTATGCTTTGTACATCATAAACAGTGTAAGACGTTGCTGAGGGGCATGTTCTTTCCAATGATTCATTTAAAAGTATCTCTAAGAACTGTCATAAACAGAATTATGCAATGAAATATTTAAATGTGTAGACTTAGTTAGAAGTGCATAATACCTGCTCCAGAGATGTTGCTGTCAAACACCACACCATTTTCCAGTTTGCCTGTGTAGAAACAGGACACTCTGTCACCTTTCGAGGGAAATGAAGTTTTGTCACCATGCTTCAAGATTTTCTTGGTGAATTTTGGCTCCTATAAAGATGAAACTTCAATTCAACTCTGTAATCAATACTCGCACTAAGTTCTAACCATTTGCTCCAGGTCAACACCACAATGCATATTCTTCACACTTTCCCCTACATTATTATTTCTTGTTGTATTAACGAGGAGAATTCATCAGACAATCAAGAGTTTCTTTAGCTGGAAATTATTTCCTTTAATTCTTATGACCTTAATGTTTTTTTCAGAGGTGAATTACTGCCAAGAGAAATTAGATTACAGTCACTCTTAATCATGGTAAATCTGCAAGAAAAAGATTAAAAGAAAAGATGATCTCTCCCCTCCTAAAAGGAAAATATAGTCAGGGTTTGACATAAACAGTAGCCCACTATAGCCACAGACTAGTAGAAATTCAGTTTTGGCCAATGGTTTTTGATATCCACTTATTAGTTTGGCTAATAAACAAACTGAAATTGTTGTAACATCTAAGATTTCACAAGCCACTTGGCTAATAAATTGAAAAGTTAGTGTCCAGCTCTGGTAATGTTTGAGTATCAAAACATGAAAAAAAAATCTGTCTACTTAAAAGCTTAGGATTGGAATTTTCCTCGTTACCAACAAGCAACTGACAGCTCAGTTGGGAGCAGTACCCAGCAAACTGTATATTACATGTTGTCAGCATTAAATTTTACAGTTTAGGTGACTGAAGACTAATATTACCTTCCCACCAAACTACAAACTGGTAAATTATAGGTTAAAGTGATCGAGTTACAGATCATAAAAAGTTAACATTTTAACCTCTTTCTTTGAATCCTTTGATTCTGAACGCTTTCTCTCCTTCTTCTTTTCACTGACATGCATGGCCGCCGTTTTCTCAGCTGCCTCTTTTAACTGGTCTTCCAAACTGGCATCAGTTTCCTTGCGGAATGACTAAGATATGAAAAAAAGCATCAAGTCTTTCCCTGAAGTGTGGCCTGACTGTGACAGCTAATTAACCCTTTACTACTCTGAAGTCTTTAACATGTTATAACCTCTCCTTATAATATCCATACTTTAACCAGCAAAAGTTGATCTACTGCCAGATTTTTGTAACAGTTAGTTTACAAGGAGATGTGTAGCAGACAGAGGCGAGAATTGAAAATCTGATCTTGAGAGTTGAAGGGCTGAGTGTCTCACTCTTAAAAGGATAGAAAACAAGAGAGTTGATCTAAAAGGGGAAATCTATATACTTGGGATGTTGTACAAAACAATAAAATATTCAATAAAGCAGAAGAATGCTAAGGGAAAAAGTTACTTTTAACGACGAGGGTCGTGGCTAACTTGCCAATTACTGTAGAGTATGCAGGGCTGTAGCCAGATTTCAGGACAAGATGAGGCAAGTTTCAAGTGCCGAAGGCGTGAGCCGCTTGAGGGGTCTTGGGGCATGCCCCCCCAGAAAACTTAGAAATCTAGAGGTTTAAAAATGCTCTTTTAAGGATTTTCCATGGCATTTTTCTTCAGAAAAGTCAATCATTAAGAAAAAAATTAAAAAGGCCAAAATTAAGATGAGGCAATTGCCTCGTCTTGCCTCATGCTAGCTACGGCCCTGGTATGATGCACAATAGCTTGAAGCAAAACCAGTCAGCTTCATTACTTATAGAACAGTTCTGTAGAAGTATCCAGTCAAAATGCCATGATTCATTATGGAAGTCATTAAATCACGAGGAGAAGGATCATAATAGATTACGTTTACTGAAAATCGTCCCTTGCAAGGATGTGAAAGATCTCACCTTTGTTTCAAAAAGTTGTTTATAACTTTCAATGAGATGATCCTTTTTGCTGGTCTTTGCAATATTGTTCAATTTCCCATTCAGCTTGTGTTCTTTGAGAAACTAACAAAATAAAAGGAGGTATTTCCTAATGAAAATAAATGTACCCTCAGAATTCCACAGTGTCCCCTACTTGCAATAGAAAAGAGGCTTTGGGGGTGTGTAATGGGTGGGGTTTGGGGCAAAATTCGACCCAACAAAGAACGATAGAAATTAAGAGACATATTTTCGCAATTATATTCGTTTTTACCAGTATCGCAGCACGTACGCTTTCTGCTGAGAGTTAACTGATATCTTAATACATCGAAGCACATCAAAAATTGTTGACGTTTCTGTACGCAGTGGCACGCGCGGTTTTGTGCGCGTGACCGAAAGGCAGAGATACGGTTTCAGACCAGATGGTATAACTTTTCCATGCTCAATAAAATAAAAGTGAAGAAAATTTTCCAACTGATACGTGCTGAAATCTTCAGTGCCATACCAAATGCAATGTACATCGATCAAGACTTCCACAAGGCAGAGATCGAGAACCTCCTTCCTTTCTGTGAGGCTATTGTTTCCGATCGAAAAATAAAAACATAGCCACGTCGATAAATGTGGTTCAAAACTGGGTATAAAGCGCAGACAACAAAAGAAAGTTTGTAATACCTCAAACGAAGCGTATTCATGCAAAAACTTGATGATATCTTTCTTAGAGACTTCATCGCTTTGCAATTGCTGGTCTGTCCACGATCGTTCGACCTCTGCCATCTTGCTTTATGAATTTTCCAAGCGAGGTTGACCGCAGGAGACTGGACGCTATACAACTCATTCAATGTTGTGTTTTGGTGCAGAATTTCTGAATTTCTCAGTTCCAAACGACCATTTAGCTATCTGTCAACGTAGTTTTCTGTAAAATTGTAGATCTTACATCTCCTAGATGCAATCTTCGACGAATCCAGAATGTATACCATCGTTAGAATTCCCCGAGATACCAAACAAAGACGAATTAGTGGTAAGTTCTAACTTATAATTTCTCTGTACTTTATTTAGAAAACTGTGATCGTTGGGAAAATAGTCGTTCTAATTCCTATAACTTGGAAACAACTTATTGTTTTCTTCACTTATAAATTGAACTCACCATTCAATATTAACTATAACTATTGTTTTCTGGTTGCTTATCTTTGAAGCAGTCTCGACTGCGTTTTTGATTTTGATAAAAAATGAAAGAGAATGCCATTAAATCTCCAATGAAAGAACCACTTTTTTTCCACAAAAGGGACTCATACAAAGTTGAGATGCTTTCCAAATATATCATTGAGAAACACAGAGGTTTTCACAATTTTATGCGAAGTAATTGGGTAAAAGATTATACTCTTCATATGCACGCAAACATTAATTGTTGCCAGCCACCAACTCCTTCAATTCTGATAAGAAAACAGAAGTGTTTCGTTTTGGTTTTAAAACTAAAATCTGAGATCGATTAACCACCAGTTTACTTAAGATGCTCAGGTTTTGTGTTGTATGTCATTTAAGAGAGATTTTGCTAGACTAAATATGGCTTTTTTGATACTCTTTGCCTCTTTGAAACTAGTGGGGAGACCAGCCCAGAAGAATAAACCAATGTTTAATTGAACAACATTGTTAACTGCTGTGTAGGGGCAACTGCTTGCTATGCAAAGCAGATAGTAATACTGAGTGATGATTGTAAGAACTTTGACATATTCTCATTAATGATACTCGGGATATAAAATCAAACTTGGGTTGAACACTAACTCAGTTGATTTTTAAATCACACATGCAGTCATGTTGTTTCAGACCTGTTTTCACTCCACTGAATTCACTTACTGCATAACTATGGTTTTATGTTTCACAAACAACCATCTATGGTTTGTTTATGCCTATGAGTCTGTGAGATGTTGTCATGGAAACACTCAAAAATTTGATCTTATTATATAAATGTTTTGAACCTGGGCTGGAAAAAGGAATCATAATTTTAAATATACAGTGATTGTAGACTATTAAGAATTAAAAAATACATATATTATATGTATTTTTTTTTTGTAGGATTGGACTTATTCTAAGAGACGAGAAATGCAGGTAAAGGTTCATTTTAGTTTATTTGCTGATTTCTCTCTCTTTTATTTTGAATGATTATTTTTCCCAAAAACATAACTGCAAGTAATGTAATCTAAGTAAATTAATAGACTGGGGATATGATATTATATAATAATAACTATTTCATTTTTATTTCCTTCAAAGGAAATTGTTCCAGGAGTTTATCTTGGTCCATACTCAGCAGCAATGAATAGCAAAGTAAGTACACTCATCTTAGAAATGAGGAATAGAATTTTGATAATTATAACTAAAAAAAAAAAACATGATAGCAATATCCTTTATCCTGAGTATATAAAACTCACCTCGTGCAACGGGTAGATGTATTTTGTAAGGTATAATTGTAGGTAAGCACAATGGGGGAGATCAATGCAAAAACTGATCATTTGTCAGCTGGTAAAAATCAAGAAAAGGTTGTAGCATGTGAGACAGTTGTCATGGGCTGTAGTACATGATATAACATTCTGCTTTGAATTCCAGATTTTTTACTCAGTTATTGTCAGTAATTATGTGGCAAAAAATAAGATGTTTAGCAGGATTGGAGGAGTCCAACCACCCAGTGAGAGAATTAGACATTCAAGTTTCAAACTATTGTTAATAATTATAATGAATTATATTGAGATTTTTTCATTGTCGAGTAATGTTGTATTGGCTGAAGTTGATGTTCTGCTTTTCAAATTTACAGTTAGGAGTTTTAAAGCAAGTTGGAATCTCTCATGTAGTTTGTATACGACAGAATATTGAAGCAAACTTTGTGCGGCCCAACTTTCCTCAACACTTTAAGTGAGTGAAGTTTGTCAACTTTTTATTTCAACATGACTATATGTAATAAAGAATCTATTCTTTCCCCACAGAAATTATCATCAAATGTAATTGTGGGTTAATAAGTTGCTAATAAGTGTAAATTGTAAATTTAAATAGTTTATAGTCAGAGAAATTTTTAGATTGTCAGGCCTTTGCAACTTTTATCTGATTCTATATTAATTTTACTAGTTATTTTTTTGTGATCATAATTTATTTGGCAGGTATTTGGTATTAGATGTAGCAGACTCACCCACAGAAAATATTATTACACATTTTCCAAAGGTATTTAGCTGCTATTTATTGATTTGTTATGCTTTAATCACTAAGAGTGACCAGCATCTAATTTCTCCATACAATATCACCCCTGAATCCTATAATAAGGCCAGGAGAGTAAAGGAAATGATCAAGCTCTTTGATTGTTGAACAAATTCTCCTTATCAGCACCTTAGGAAATGTATAAAGAATAGTATGGAGAAAGTATACACTGATGTTAGAAGGTAGAGTATTTTAAAGGAATCCATGAGATACATGATTGGCAAAAACTTGGAATTCGCTTCCCGACAGCATCAGAACAATAACATCATTTAAAGATTTTAAGATAGCTATAAGGAAAATGAACTTTTAGTAGTAATTTTTTATTATTGTATTGGTAGTAGTTCTATTTATAATTTGACAGACTTATGTATTTTTCTTTCTCAAAGATATTAGCTCAACAGAGCTACTCTGAAAATTCGAGTTGCAATAAAGTATTATTGTATGATTGGTGACCTGAAAAATTTCTTGTAATGTTGATGACGAATTGAATTATATGATTGTGTAAATTTTTTTATTTTAACCAGGTGAAAGCTTTTGTTGACAGCTGTTTAAGTAGCGGAGGTTAGTTAGAAATTTAACATTTGTTCATTGTTTGTTTTGGTTATTTATCTGACTCCTTAGTTTGTGTGAACTGTCTACCTTAACATTCTTCTCCGAAATATGATTAACTTGCAACTTCTCCCAACAGCAGTAATACACTATCTAGAAAACAGTTGAGGAGAATAGAAAAAGTCATCAGCTAGTAATGTAGTTAATGCTAAGTTTCAAGAGATGCTTGGGTAATTTCCCAAGCATCCTAGCGGGCATTCGTAAGAAACACGTGTCTTCGCAAAACGTGATAAGAACGTCAGATTTCAGAGCAGTCAAGGTTGACTTGTCAGTTTTAGCTTTGTAGTGTAGAATTTTCTGAGATTTGTCGGATCTAGACCAGTTCATTACCCTGGTAGCTGGAGAAAGTTTTAAGCTTCTTTCTGTAACCTGCTGAGGATATTAAACAGAAGTTGTAATTCTGCCAGCAGTGTCTTAGTGAATATTGTCGGGATCAAATTAGACCTATTTATCATGCGAAAGGTCGCCGGTAACAAGTAGGAAGTGTCATTTTGATATGACACGGAGGTCTCTTGACAGATGTTCAAGGCATTGTTTAAATACATTGTAAATAATTTTCTTTTAAAACAGAAATTGGGTAACATTTGTATCTATTCTACTATTAACTTATTCTTACAACTATTTGTCAGGAAAAGTTCTTCTCCATGGAAATGCTGGAATATCTAGAAGGTTAGTTCCTTTTTTTTTATAACAAATTCACATGTTAACAGTAGGTTTAAAAAATTACTCTTTTTTCCAGACCTACATGTAGTAGCTAAGAGTAAGCACTAATTTAGGGTAAAATGATTATAAACTTGTTTTTAACTTTGAATCTATTTTCTTAGTGCTGCTTTAATGATTGCTTTCATTATGGAAACATATGGATTAAACTATAGGTAAGTTGATAAAACCTTTCTTTGTATGATATTGAGCATTTGTGTTTTCACCTCACTTTGAGCCATGGCCAACAGCTCTGCAATTTGAAGCTGTATCCAAAGAGATGCCATGTGATGTTTATTTCTAAAGAACACAGGTCCAGACAAGGTGTTGGATGCCTAGACATCTGATTAAGGGGCTTATTAAATTAAATTCATTTGATATGAGGGAAAGATGGACTTGACATCACTTGGAGATCTATATGGATTGGAGTGTGAATCTAAATGGATTGTGAGTTGTAATATTTCATTGTCTCTTGTAGAGATGCATTTCATTATGTGCAACAAAGAAGATTCTGTATTAATCCCAATGAAGGTTTTGTTCAACAACTAATGGTAAGTGACGAGTGTGTGAGCCGTGCATGCATAAGAATAGTCCATATTGATAGTGCCCATTCCAATGCTGCATGCTGTTTATCAGGGACTTGATCTGCAGAAATACTAACTATGTGTTGAAATCGATGGCTTGCAGGAATATGAACCAATTTATTTAGCCAATTACCAAGCAAGGACGTCAGGAGAAAGATTAAATCAGTGTAAGGAACCTTTTACATATTGTTTGTCTGTAAAACCAATTGTGATCTTTATTCTTTCTTCATCCCTTTCCACAATTTTCTAGAGAGGGTATATGTAGCTAATGGGGGGGTCTTGATGTCATTTGAGATAATTATGCAAGAATTTTTTAAAAATTCATGCATCCCATATTTTTAGCACTAGTCTAATAAGTTGAAAGCAAAAACTTCAAAGTTTCAGAGGAAATCTGTATATAGGGAATCTTGAGGTTTTCATGAAATGAAAGTAAGAATTCACAGGTCACATATGTTCATGACAGAGGTAAACTTATGTTCATGACAGAGGTAAATCACTCCTCACACTGATTTATAAATTCACAAGTCAGGCTTGCCTTTCCTGTAGATTCACACATCACGTTTTAATTTGGGCCATGATCATGTGTCATGTTTATTTTATAAGCTCTTTGCCATCCTACCTGTAGTTAAAACAAGGCTGGGAACAATAAACTTGAATCAGACAAGTCGATGCTCAAAAATTGTGGGCAACTCTTAGTATGCCTTTGAAAAAATTAAAACCTTAACTGTTGATGGTTTTTTCCTGCTTAGCTGGTGGGATCAAAAGAGCTCATGAGGATGAACCAAGAGATGACATGATGGACACGTGATCACTGTTGTTACCAGCAGAGTTGATTTTCATAGTACCAGGTAATAATTAGTGAAAGTGGTGTGTTAAGTGTTACTGATCTTTTTTCTTTTTTTTTTTTTTTGAGCTTAATCTAAATTTTCATTTAGCACCTTTGATTTGTATGGTTGGTCCTATAGTCTAAGGAAGCCTATACTTTATAAGCTCCCGGCTTCTAATAGGCTTCCTTGCTGTTACCTCTTCAGTTCCTTTGATTCTGAAGTTAATTTAGATATAGTTCTTTTTATCTTTGATGTGTCATAAATTTTGTATTCGGTTAATGTTTCTCTGGTAATGGCAAATAAAATGAATGAATAAATCAATTAAGGAACTCTATATATTTCATTGCAAACAAGCCATGATATTGTACTCAGAAATCATAGATTAATGCTTGCTAAATGACAATGATTCCACCAGAATAGGCTGCAATTGCTTTGTCTGGTTGATGATGAGAACATTTAGTAAACCCTGAATTCCCAAGGTGTAAGTATTTACTCTCTCTTCTGCCAAACACATTCATGTATTTTGGCAAAGTTGAAGTCATTTCAGTTTCACATCATCCACTGATGATTTGTCTCATTGTCACATGATGATCAGCAACTCTTTAACGCCAGTGCCTGGCTTCTTATTTCTCCATACAGTATCACTCTAAAATCAAACATTACGGCAATGAGAATAAAGGAAATGATCACCAACTTAAGAAGAACTTGATTGTTAAACAAATTCACCTTGACATCATCATTGGAAATGTGAAGAGAACAGTATATATGGTGAATATGAAAACCAAAATAAAGATTTAACCTGGGTATACCTTGTTATTTTTGGAGCTGTCATAAGCTTGGTCAGTACTTCAAATTTTATGAACAAGTATTGTGATCATTGATAGAGGATTTCTGTTTATTTCAGTTAAAGCACAAAGTAACTGGTGTATAGAGACAGCATCTCTGATGTTTATGGGACAGCAAATCCTGGAAGATGGCCATAATACAAAATCTGATCTTGGGAAGGACAATCACCCAAATTACATCTGTTCAGCTATTTATAGATTATATAAAAGATGTGTTTACATAGATCAAAACTACACAATACTAGGTAGAAAATTGTTAAGTAATTTTAGCATCATCCATAGCAGCCTTTTCTTTCCTCTTTGTATTTGGATATGAGCTGTTTATGACTTTGTTGTTTTTAGTGAAATTATCAGAGGTGCATTTTTTATTGGTAATGACGTAAACAGTGTTTACCTGTGTGAATATTACAATAGCCCTATAACTACAAAATCTGATTGTAAATTCTCCCTTCTTGCTACTATACATTTCCTCACGAAAAGTTGGTGTTGGATCGAGGTAACAACTTCAACCTGATAACTTAATTGTGTATGTAATCTTATTACCTGAATAGAGTTTGCTTATTTGTTGGCGTGTTTCCTTTTTTTTTTGAGCAGAAAAACACAAACTTAAGTATTTAAAAGGATTTATTTTTCAACTGATAAGTGACTGTGTCTACCTTGGCTACAATGGGAATCTATCCTTACGCAGAAAAAAAAACTTCGTAGAGAAAAATCAGTATTGTTTGTTATTGAAAAGCGAGGATTTATGAAGATATTTTCGAATCGTGTATTTTCGTTAAAAAACAAAAGCTACAGGCGATGGTTAAATCATTTTTTCCGTGTTTTTTCTCTTAAAAGATCAATTTCTAACAAATAAAATCTTAGAACTGACTCAGCTTACTATCTATATGATGATGGATCTGTTGTAGCGCCTTCTGAGGAAGTGTTGCGAAGCCAAAACCAAAGAAATGGCAACGGCCAATTAGAACTAAGGAAATATTACAATAAGCCTATGAGAACCCGAAGCACAAACAAGCAGGTGACAAAACGCGCGGGAAAACGCATGTGACCAAGTCGTGACGTGTTTTATTTTGCATCTGATTGGCAGAGAGAGAGGCGCGGATTTTCATGGCCAATCACAGAGTGAATAAATGAACAACCAATGCAATATTGGATTACTTTTAACACTGATCATAGAAACAGAAGAATGGAAAAGGAAAGTTGCGTCGTTTCAGACACAAAGCTTATTTAAACACAGGTAACCTGTTGATTAATCTTTTATTTGGGCCTTTATTAGAAAACTTATACGCTTCTAAAACGTGACTTACAAGCTTGTGTGTTTGTTTGGAACTCCCGCGAGACAACTTGGTTCTGACGGACTAACAGCACATCCACTTATAACCCAGGTTATTACAATGTTCGCAAACGTCTAGTCGCTTTGTTACCTCTTTGTTCTGTATCACCTTAGACATCATCTTTATCTCCTCTCCCTCCCTGTTATCTAACAGATGATGAGCAGAGGCTGAAGAAATCTCTAGCTTCAAGTTTTCGTTAATTTTTTACTGAGATAGTGATCCAATCTTCTAAATTACAAGAATTAATCTATTCTAGGTCCACACAACATTTACGAGACTGAAAAATTATCTTGTCGTTACTTAAAAATTTCTGATCACAATTTAACAATTGACATGATTAAATGAATTAAATGTCAGCTCTTACGGCGCTGTTTCTGTTCACCTTAGGCCTTTTTTCCTTTTTCGATGCTGATAAACCTCTCCTTTGGGGGAGGTAGTGCTTGCCTTTCAGCTTCAACCAGAAGTTTTCCTTCATCAGTGAGACGCGATACGACGGAGTTCATGTCGACGTCTTTTGGCAAAACGAAGTGACGATTGAATTTCCGAGATGTGTAATGCCCCTCTGTTTCGGATTCGTGCGTTGCGCTGACGGTCAACTCATTTCCAACAACTTTCACTTTGATCTCCTCGGGCGCGAAATTTGTCACATCTAACAAAACACTGAATTTCTTGTCATCGATTCGCGCCACCTCTCCCGCCCGCGTTTCAAAGCCCCCGAGCGGAAAATCGTCTTCGGCCCTGACGATTTTTCTGGTCGCTTCAATAGTCAGATAACCATCCTTGGAGATTTTTGACGTGATGCTGGCGGGATCCGCATCTTGCGGGACGGGATAAGTACGCTGGAACTCACTGCGCTCAAAACCAAAGTTCCCGTCGGAATAATGTTTAGCTTTCACAACTAAGATGTCTCCCTCAACACGTAGACTGACTTCGTCAGGGCGGTAATTTCGCACGTCTAGAGTCACTATGTGAATTCTTTCATCGGAACCTGAGCGCTGACGCTGCATTTTGATGCCAGGAAAAGATTTCTGAGATTTGCGACCAGAGTATCAAGATTCTATAGCGTTCGAGTATGAATATGGCCATGTAATATTACAAAAAGTTCGCATGGGGTAGAAAATAAATGATGGTCAAGTCCTTAGGGATGTTTAAAGGCAAATTAAAAATATTGGATTCTACTGTCTTGTATCGATATAATTTCTAAACACGTTAGCTAATTGAATTTGCGCGAGAAGAAAATATCGCTTATTCCAGCAATTTCGTGAGATCAAAAACACGAAACCAGTCAAATGTAGACCAGGCAATAATTTACTAAACAATCGAGAATAAAGTTGTAACTCAATGCCTGAAGTTGAAATTTGGGATGTTAAAATTTGTGATAGTCAGATCAGATGTGGTTAGACGATCATTTTCGTGTTATGATATTCGATCTGTAGTCGGAGATTTACACCTGATCACAATAGCGAAACATCTTGTTATTTCATAGCGACATTTCTTAACTGTTTACACCCTTCCCGGCAGTATGCATATTCTCCATTCTGTTCTCCGAACATGTACAACGTGCTTATAAAGATAATCTGTTTCACAATCAAGAGATTTCTTTGGTTAGTATTCATTTTTTTATTCTCGTGACCTTAATGAGCGATTCGAGGGTGATATTGTAAGGAGAAATTAGATGTTGGTCACCCTTTCGGATCAAAGAGTTAAGGAAAAGTTTTATCATTTTGCCTGTTGTTGATGCTCGCTTCAAAGCTATGAACATCTATCATTTTTGTTGTAACGTAGCACGCAAGTTTTCTAGGAGGAAGTTTACGACGGCTAGCCCAAAAAATGTTTTTACTTAATATTGAACCCAACACATTCAGACTAGTGATCTTTAATCTGCGTTCAGACTTGTGTTTGCTGTCAATTAACTCCATTTTTGCAGCTGTTAGTTCTTGCTGAAGTTCCCGTAGTGAAGTCTCACCTTCCTCCACTCGCGTAATATTCTTCTCTAAAGTAGTTTTGGATAATCAAAATTTCTTTATCAAGGGACCTGTACATTTTTGGTTTATTTCATTATTGACCTTGTCTACCTCATCCTTGATTAGCTTAGATTTTACCAGTGTCCAAGCAACATATGATACAACGAGTATTGGCTTTGTTTTTTATCGATCATGATCACTTGAAAGTTAAAAAGTGAGCCGCGACTTGAGCATTCCTTTTGCAAATGCGTTTTTAAGCTTAGAAAGAAAATTAATCTGTTTGGAATTTGAAAACAAAGTCATTGTTACGCCAGAAAAGATAGTTTTGGGTTTTAGACACAACTTGGTAGCACTCTCGAGGACTGCTTTTAACGAAAAAGGAACTCCAAAATAAGGGACAAACGCTTATTATAAATATAGGCTATTCTTTTTTCCTTATTCTCCTTCATATATAAACTTATATCATAGCAACGTAAAGTGCGCGCTTTGATTGGTCAGTTTACTGTCTCCTATTTGCCCATGGGTATACGCTGCTGACGTGAGGAAATCTTTTCAATGGATCTTCCGCCGAAATTCAGTCCACTTTCAAATTACGATAAAGGACGAATTTTTGGCACACATTTTTCTCTTGATTGAACGGTTGCATCCATTTATTAGATAGAGATAAAGCTCAGAAAGACCTTTTTCATGAATTTCAGTAAACGTGATTACTTTTATCTTTCAATGATTGTCGTGACGAGTACAGCCGCACATATTGATTCAGCTTCCAAAGAAAACTGTTCAACGCAGTGGACTCAAGATTTGAAAATTGGTGCATATCCTTTGGGGAATTGTTTTTAGAACTGCGGATACCTTTGTTTATTCTCGCTCCATTTCTCCTCGACGAAACTTCCTGACCGCCAGCGGCCTGTGGGGGGAGGGGGGGGGCTTTTTAGGCTCCATGTGACGCGTTCCGGAATTTGCATACAAACAGTTAGGATGTCTGGCACAAAGAAATCTCTCTTCAGTTAGAACATTGTCTTTGTGACATTAAAAAGGCCCATTACGAAGTTCATAAATGACACGCGTCCTACATACTGCCAGTGTCGGCAATGTCGATAACAAAATATTTCCTTGCAGTGATCGGCGCATCTTAAACGAATAGCTTGACTTCCGATGAGACAATTAGACTTTTAATAAAGACGACTCGTGTCCCGTGCGAATCTTGTAGATTCGTCTAAATTTGATTCTTATGCTTGATGTAGTGTAATGTTCTGAAGGATTTTTATGCGAATCGACACATCGACTCGACTCGTGCAAATCTTCATCGCTTAGGTGTGTATTACCTTCCTCTGCAAGTCGACTTCAAACCACGTGAGCACATAGCTAAGGTCTAAAGCAATTCCGAGAAAAACGGAAGCGAGTAAACAGGAGCAAGATAAACGAGCCAAGCCTTCCAGCGAACACCATGCCTTATATTTTCGTACGCAACTCCATGAACGTCAGGCCCCCATGAAAATGGTTCGCTTTATCGAATGGCCAAAGACGCATACGCCGGAACAGAAACCTACATTGATTTCGACTACTCTGGTTTCAGAAACGCAGTCCCTTGAATTTCCGATTGGTTGGGGGAGGCGATAATGAAGGCGCTTAAACCGGTGACCGTCGTTGAAACTGAGCAAGCTAGGCCAGATCCATCACTCCCCCAACAAGATCTTCCTGGCTCTTTGTTTTCTACCTGGCATCCACCTTTTGTAGTACTGGACAAGCTTCAATAACTTGGCTTCACAGTTAATGAAGTAAACGCTGTCAGAGTGACTACTGTGTGGACCTTACAAGGTACCGCGAATCACCAAAGGTTTGCTTCATTAATAGGCTGCGTCAACCAGTTTATTTTTAAAAAGTAACGCGCCAGCATACAGAAAGAAAGAACAGTTAAAAACTTTGGCCGACAATTGCAAAAAATTTTTTCTTTAACATGTTAAACTACAGCCTTTAATTTGCAGCATTGTTGAGGAAACTGTCTTCTTTCTGATGCAATGAAACTACAGACAACAGGTATATATGAAAATTTAGCTTGTACTGTATTACTTTACCTAACTTTTCTTATCTCGAACTTTGGAAAGGCTAAGCAAGTCACGTGAACAATGCGCATGTTATAACTCGTTTTAGTTCAGTATCTGAACTGTTCGTGCCAAACATAATAACTTTGAAGCTGTATAGTTTTACTCCAGTCACGGTACGTGGAATTAGTGACAGATTTCTGTCCTCAGCGTTAACCAAGAGAACACTCCAAGTTGGTTTCTTCCGTAGCATTTCTTGTTCAGTTAAGCATTTTTTTGTTTCCCTTTCGTCTCAGCGTAGAAAAACCTATATTTGACAATAGAGCTGCATTTTCAGTTATCCCCATGTCATGTGTTTGACTCCAAGCATATGTTCTCGAAAAAGAAAAGTATTTCAAAAAAACAAAATATCGGTGTAAACTGATGAACTATGGTTAGGTCAGCATTTTTCAAAGCCTCTCACGGTCCTTATGGCTTATGCATGTTGCTTCAACAACTCATGCAAGCACAATTCTGAGAAAAAAAGAAAAAAAAAAAGGAAACCGAGCACACGCACATCAAAGTAAAATTTCCAGTGAATACCTTTGAGACATTTTACGCGTATTTCAATCGCCATGTTTTCCCCCGTTTCTTCGTATCCTTCGTATATGTTGGTTCGCTCCTCTAAACGAAATAGCGACAAGATACGAGGTTGCGTCGCTGAAGAACCCGTCAAAGGTTTACGTGGATATTTTCCTACTTCAATTACATATGTGCCGTACCGAGCTCCAAAAACTTTATTCGTGACGTTCATAGATTACAGATGTCCTCTGGATCAGTGATTATGCTGACACTTTGCGCTTATGAACTGTTAACAAAGTTTGAAGTAGTCTGTTTATTCGTGTTTGTGTATTTTTCATTTTGTAAGTTAACTTGATAACATTCTCTCGTTGTTCTTTGGAAGTATAGGTCGATATTTTTGTGTGAATTCATAAACTGTTCTCAAAACGTGTGTTACCCGATATATTATTGTTTGACTATGTATTTTCCAATATGTCGGCCAGCTCGAATACCAATTTCAGAAGATAACTCCTTTAACGAGTTTTACCCAGAAGAATATTAGCCTCGTTCTTTTTTCGCATTTTTGTGGACCGAGTTGAAGTCGAGGTCCACAAATGGGAGAAAATAACCCGGCCAATATCCAGACATCCTGACCTCACGCTTGGTTAATAACGCATACTTGTTATGTTGAGTAGAGGGTTGTCAACCACCTACTAAGGGGAGGTGTGTCAGTTACTTCTGTCGTCCATCAAAGGTACATGAAAAGTAGGGCGCTTATGACACTTCGTGGCTATGAAGAGTACATCACATAGTTGACCCGTTTGTCCGCTTGTCCTTGGTTTCTTGAAGGATGAGCTGGAGAACATCTGTTGCGCTTTTGTTTCGCTTTATGGCTTGAAATACAAGGTAAAATAAATGAAATGTGCGTTCTTTTCACTCCGTAGTTCCACTCCCCTTCATTGCTTTGAAGTTGAAATTTTTGATGACGACACTGTAGATGTGAGTCCAGTTATAAAGAAGAACGACGAGCTGGGTTTTTCGAAAGGGGGTTAACGTTTGTGTAGGATTAGAGGTTAACTTTGGCTTTTATTTCTGGTATAGAAGACTGTGCATAAGAGCTAAGGCTTTGATGGATTTTCTCTTAATATGGCCCGAAACTAAAAGGAAAAAGAGACAAAAGAAAAATTCCTTTGCAGAGCTGTGAAACTTGATTTAAAATTTTCCTTAACCCCGGGTTAGTTTAACCATGTTTTGAACAACCCGGCCAGAGAAATTAGTGACGGATTTCTGTCTGTCCTGTCTGCCCGTTAAACGAAAAAGCGCTTGTTCATGTTCCGTTTGTTCAAACAGTTTTATATAACAGGTATTTTCATTCCCTGTCCTGCCCAGGGCCAAACAATTAAAAAATATCGATACAATAAATGATCCTTTCAGCTCATTAACTCATTTGGGGCTTTTTAAGCGAGTTCAATCGTCATGGCGTTATATGCAAGAGCGGCGAACATTGCGTATACTCCTGGATATGTGTTTGTTCGAAACACAATGAACACGGATGATTCGGAAAATATATATTCGGAGGGAACAACCTGCATCGATTTAGCAATTCATGATCAGACTCCACAGGATGTACGTGTCTCTCTCGATCCATTACAAAAGATATCGAAAACACTGGTCGGTGATCGACGCTCTCGATGTGTTACTTATAAAACTGATGAGCCACCTTTTTCGGTTCTCAGCCATTTGAAAGATTGTCGCTATCGTGTTGTTGGATTAACTTCTGTTAAAGAGACTTGTATCTGGACATGCGAGTACGTTTAATTTCGTCCTCACATGATAACTTCTTTAATAGTGTCAAGTTTTCTCAGGTATTATACAATACCATAAACTATTTTCCCCTACTGGTGACTGAAAGAAAAATACTGTGATCGACATTGGCTTGAGTGACTTCATCTGAAACAGATCTGCATATTTATAAAGTCGTTAGAAAGGTGAAAGGCACGTGGCATGTATTGTCATGAACGGAGTCTAAAAATTAAAGAACTTTCAGTCGTACCACATCAATACTCTACTCACGAACTCCACTCGGTATTTTTATATCAATTCTAAGTCCTAATTTTACTTAATTGTCGTTCACTTCATAGTTTTTGCTCCATTTGCTCCAACAGTTTACATGACAAAGGCATTTTATAATTTGTATGTTCTTGTATAAGTAACGTCAGAGTAGCCTCGTAAATTCTAGCCATATGGAAAAAGTGCTAAGAGCATTGTACAAGGTAGTTGTTACCGCTCTATAAATTAACCTCAAAATGTTTTAGCATCGACAAAGCAATAGCTATGAGTTTCCTTTTTTTTCTTAATTTGTTTACAAATAGCTCATCGTCGCGAAGTCTACCGCGTGTGATGTTGACTTTCTAATGATCTTTGTCTCTTCTCTCTTAACAATACCTGAAAGGTATGCCATTTTCAATAATATTTTTAACGCAGACTTTATATGATTCAACTAAGGGTTTGTTTATGCTAGGGTACATTCGATCGCGTGATGCTAGCCTAATCTCACACGAGCGAAAATCATTAACGTATTCTAGCCAGAATCATGATTATGCCATTTTTCCATGTACATGTCTATGGAAACTTTTATTTCTTTTGTTAGGAGATTTACTCGCTTTAACGGCTCTGGATTTTTTACGAGCTCTATGAGTGAATGGTGCACGATCACACCCCACTAAATATATCAACAGAACTGTACCGGAACATTATCTTAGTGAGTAATTTCTTGATTGAAAGATATCACGAAGAAAATATTTTGTACTTGATTTTAATGATTTATTTATTCAATACATCCATAAAACAACTGATTCATAAATTTGATTTTGTTCACAATCTTCCATCATTTGACTAACAAAAGCCAATAATAATTTCAACTAATCAACGTCAGAGGCCTGTCAATTTACATAAATATAACTTTCAAAAAAGTTCCTTTGTTCTTAATTAAGTGTTATCATTTGTTAAAGGGATGACTGTTCAAGGAAACTTTCCTCGCGACTTAATCACTAGAGCCTCAATCAAACTTTGAAAAGTACGGACACAGGTTTGAAGGAAACTGCCCATGTGAATTTTGTAACATAACCGTCAGCTGCATGCCTGATTGAAATTCCGAGAAAAATGGGAAGTAAACAAAAGCAGACAGTACAAATCGGTCACGCTTTAACTTCTTATTACCCACTTGTTTTTCGACGTGTCAGCTGAGTTTCAACCATCATGCCTTACATCTTGGTTCGTAGCAGCCCAAATGTCAATCACGACAGAGACGTTTGCCGTGTGGTCGGAGAAGCATACCGTGAGACGACAACACACATTGACAACAACTTCCAGTGGAGTAACGATGAATTGGAAGGCTTAAGACGCTGGCTGCATCCGTTAACAGTTTCCATTGGGAGGTCCCGGTTGTCTACCTCACTCCCGCCTCCTGAAGTACTGACCAAGCTAAAAGACGTAGGCTTCTCAGTTGTTGCAGCAAATACTATTGGAAAGACTACTTCGTGGACCCTGCAAGGTGACATACCTGTCATCAAAGTTCGTGTGGGCAACACAGAAGCCCACATTGAAAGCAACTTCAGATCGACTCCCGCTGCAACGGAAATTTTAAGTTCCTGGCTGTATCCGTTAAGAATTCTCGATGACGAGTCTCTGTTACCCACCCAAGACCAGCCAGGGGAAGTACTGAACAGGCTAAAAGCCTTAGGCTTCTCAGTTGCTGAAGAAAATAATGGAGTGTGGACCCTGAAAGCTGTCCCGAAACAGATCTTCGTTCGCAACAAAATGAACATGGAAACAGTCCGAATCCCCGGTGACGACGTTCCACACCCTCGCTATGGGGCCGTAGAAGCATACCGTAACGCAAGAACCTACATTGATAGCAGCTTCCAGTGGAGCCGTAGGGAAATGGCCTTTTTAGACTCCAAACAAGGTTTGGGTCCATTAACGCGTGATAGATTTGACTGTCTGTTGTCCACCCCACGCCCGCCACTCGAAGTACTGTACAAGCTACACCGATTCTTAGGCTTCTCAGATGTTGCAGAGAATACTGTTGGAGTGACTACTGTGAGGACCCTGGGTCGTTGATATCCCATGGCATCATTCCTTTCCTTTTTAGTAACACGGTTTACTCCGCAAAATGCAGGAACACTCGGTTAGAAACTTTTCCTATTTTAGCATGTTTAGGATTAGAATAAGGCATTCTATAACACCTCCCTATCTCTTTATCCATGATTTTCATTAATTTATATACTTGTTTTGACATTTTCTGAGCTTAATAGCATTTTATTTGTAATTTTGTTAAGGAAATTATTCTCTGATTGAAGCAGTGGAAGTACAGACAGCCAGTAATTTACCAAATTAGCTTGAGTTGTCTTGACACGTGAAAAGCGCATGGTAAAAAGCACATGATTAAAAGCTTTGTTTAGTTATCTGAACTTGTGCGCAACGTTCATTGTTTGCTTGTTCGTATTAAATGATACTTCGATATACAGGACTTACACACCACTCAGTTTAATTTCTAGTTCAGTCACCCCAGATCCACGCTGCCTGTTAATGACAGATTTCTCTCTTCCCGTTAGCCAAGCAGACTCTCAGTTCCATAACTTTTCTTGTTTTGTTCAGTCAAGCAGTTACAGAATAGTCAACCGTTCCGTGTGAGTAGAGGAAAGCTATCATTTGTCATTGTATGCGGCAAACTGTCTTTGTGGCAAGCTACCCTTGAACTGAAGTGCTTAACTGAGCTCTAACCATTCGGTCTCGAGGAATAAAAAAATCCAATAAAAATGACATGTATTGTCAAAACGAATACAAAATTTATAAGTTCCGAAATCAATTTACTTTTTGTAGACTTTCACTGATTAAATGATTTTGGGAGGTTGGCGTTTCTCTTAGGTCCTATTACTTGTACATGTTGTGTCATTAAACCCTATACCGACAGCCCATGCAGGATATCGTCGATATCGTCATACATGCACAATTCTGAGAAAAACAGAAAATTGAGTACATGCATAGTAAACCCATATTCTTCGGTGGATATCTTTGCGCTCCTTATGGGTTAGTTCGCACTGCCAGGAACACGAAATATCCTGATAAGGCATCTTCTGAGACATAAACCTGCATTGAATTATGGTGTTTACTGGATCTTGCTCAAAATGTGATTCCAGGCTTGTTGGCGGAACTTGTCAGCAATCGATATTCTCACAAGATTACGTATAAAACCTACGAAGCCCCTTATAATGTGCTCGGTAATTTGAATGCAAATGGTTACCGTGTGGTTGGAGTATCTTCTGTTGGAGAGAAAGCTGTTTGGGCGTGTGAGTATACTCTGCCTTGCTGAATGAGGAGAAATAGCAACAACAGATGAACCTGTGTCATTGAAGAACCAGGCGAAGGAATACCGAGGAGCTCTCTGGCTGAAACTTTGCGTAGCATAAAACCAAGTAATTTATTCATGTCTTTCATTAGATTAAAAATATCCTCTCGAACTAATTGCGCTGAGTGTTGCGCTCATAAATCGTAAGCGACATTATAGTCTAAATATTCATGTAAGAGTATTTCTCACTATATATACTAGCTTAAAGAACACTCCTCGTTGTTCCTTGGCGGTATAACGTGATTTTACCAACTGACTTAATGATGTAAATTTAACCTGCAAAGAGTTTCCAAATGTATGGGTTGTGTATGTAAATATACCAAAAAATAGAGTTACGCTATCGATAGGAACATGGTAACGAAAATACGCGACCGTAAAGGTCAATTCACTTGCATGAATATTTATACAAATTTCAGAAGATAAATTCACTTTAAAACAAGTTTTGCCTTAGAGATCAGTTTCTATTCCACCAGCAGACGACCACGACTTTAAAAGCGCCACAGTACGTTTCCATTACACTTGATGGAAAATACTTGCTGTCTCTTAATCAATGACGTAGTATCCGTAGGATCTTAGGGGACTTTGGAGCAGAGTCCATAACAAGCGTATCTCTTATTATGGCTCAGAGAACGAGGTGTATCATATTCAGTGCGCTTCCTTTGCTCCGTGTGCATCGGTTGTAATATGCCTGGAGCGCAGGTTAAAGCGTTTTTTTTTTATTTTTTGCCTTAAATAAAGATATAATTCATATGTTTGACGCCCTCCTATGATTACACACCGCGGCAAAAGTCTTTGCGTGCTCTTCAAATTTTTGAATTTTTTTCTGTTGATCTCATTTATCTCCCTCTCTTACCCATTTCAAAGTCGGTTGCCTAAGTGGTGGTGTTAGCGTTAACAAAATGGTTACCTACGTATGGTGAACGATCCTCGCAGTAGATAGCGCTGTTTAAGCAATAGCGAAAATCAGACCTGAAAAAAATCAGGCCTGTACGGGATTCGAACCACTGACCTCTGCGATACTAGTGCAGCGCTCTACCAATTGAGCTAACAAGCCAACTGGGAGCAGGCCGTTAAGTTGATTCGTAATAAACCCGTGAAAGTGATAAATCAGATACAATGAAATATATGAAGTTCATATATTTTGAACTGCGGTATTAGATAAAAAATAAAATAACCAGCGCTATCTACTGCTTAAATAGCGCTATCTACTGCGAGGATCGTTCACCATATGTATCTAATACCGCAGTTCAAAATATATGAACTTCATATATTTCATTGTACCAAAATGGTTACCACCAAGCACTGAACATCGTTGGAGGGACTTCCAAGCAACTTACTGGAGATGAACTACAGGAAGGTCGTCTACCACCTCCTGAGGGGAGGGCCCTCCACTCACTGTAGGTATGTGACGAGAAGAGCGCTTCATGGAAAAGAAGGGTCTAACATTTGTTGTTGTCTTCCATTGCTTAAGTAGCGAGCTATAGGACATAATTTGTTTTCTGGTCTAACTTCATCGCTTGGAAAACGAGGTAAAATGAATGTGATGTATTTTCGTTTCAGTTCATAGCTCCCCCTCCCTTTTAATGGGGAATGTGGTTTACTTAAAGTCCCAAAGTACTCGTTTGAATTACTTTGCAATGTCTCACTTAACGATTTCAAGTGTCACTAAATTTAACGGCCGGGTGCTAAATTTGATCTCAGCGGGAAAGGGTTTGTGGGGGGATTTTAGTCTGAATGACGTCCAAAGCTCCTGAAGTTCGAGATACAGAAGCGTTTGAGTTCTTTACATGGACGACGCTTTAGATAACCAGAGTCCATAGTATATATCGACTGTAGACCGAACCACAGACTTGCGATTGACTTGCGAAGAGATCTCAAGTTTCATGGAATCTGTCAAAAGGAAGCATTACGAAAATGACCAAGAAATATTTCCGGACGACATTTTTATTCAAAACAGTTCTTGATCTGCTATTGTAAGCGAAAAACGTACGATTTTCTTACGTGTACAAAGCCCACGCGGTAAAATTCATTATGCTTAGATCGTTGTTTACTTGACTTCTCGGCCAGAAAATTGGGTAGCGTTATGTTGAAAATTCTGAAAAACTACGATTTAACCCAAAATCTTCCATTAAACTATACTTTTGGAACACATTGTTACTCGAACATAATATTTACCGGTCCATGGAATCATCAAATTGTCGCTAGGCCCTGCTTGAAGTCCGAAAGTTCGGTTTCCAATTTACGTCCACAATTCGCATATTAATCCACTGGATGACGCAAGCCATATAAATGATTTCTGGTTTTATTCGATCTATTAAGGAAAACGTTGCGTAATATTAGATAGGGCAAACTACAGGGCAAACTACAACATAAGCGAACTACAGTGATTAATCGCATATCATCGACCACTTACTTCTGTGACGATATCCAGCAGATTATTCCTAATCACTCGTAAACACGGGGTGGCAGTTCAATTGGGCATCCGGTTGGCAAAATCGTATGAAACGCCGGTCAACGAGAGAGCAATTTAGCACGGAACGATTCCTTCTAAAATGAACTTTGAACACGTTGCGCGATCTTACGAAGTTACTAATCCCAAGTGTATCATGAACTTAATGAAATGGGAAAATAATTGTCAATCAATTATGACTCATATCTAGTTATATCCTTTTCTCAACAAAACACTCTCCACCCCGATGAGGGCGTAGTCCGCATCCTACACTGTCTCTTTAAATGGTAATTGTATATTGTCCCTTTACTTATCATCTTCTGAGGGATAGATAACTGCAACTTTAGTGACAGGCCGACTGGAAACGCCAGCCGACGTCTTGACTTTGACATTCCGTCTTCTGCCGCCCGGTCCTGGGTAGACTTCCAAGATTCTGCCCATGCACCACTTGCCTCGAACAGCTTTACTACCAGCTACCGTAACGATGTATTCGACTTTCACATTTCATCGTTCGTCCTGCCACGGTTTCCTTGGTACTAGGGATGGGAAAACGTCTCGACTCCAACGCTTCCAGAATGAGTCGACGATTCTCTGGACGAACTCAACTCTGTGGCGCGGAGTTTGCGTTTGTTTGAATGGTCCTTGTGGTACTTCAGATAACGCTCGTCCAAGGAGGATGTAATTACGGCATCGGTATTTAGGAAACATCAGTGGCGTTTCGAATCCTTCCGATTGGTCGTTGGTTAACGAGGTTGGCCACCTCTAGAAACACCGTGTACAACTCGAATGGAGCTAGCACTTGGCTGCCAATGGCCCTCTTTAAAGCGTTCTTGCACGTCTTAACGAGCGACTCTGCGCAGCCATTTTCATGCGGGGCAGCAGGTGTCGTGAATTTCCAGTGTACGCTTTTCTCCGCGCAAAACTCTTGAATCTCTTCTCGACTGAATCCTCGTACCATTTCACTCAGCTCTCTCTCAGCGCCCACAAACTGTGCACCGTTATCACTGATCAGTACCGCCGGTTGACCTCGTATCGCAAGAAACCTGCTGAGAACTTGCAGAAACTCCATTGTAGAACAGTCAACGGCCATCTCTAAATGAACTGCCCTAGTGTTCAAACATGTAAATATGGCACCGTAATGCTTAGTTGTCTTGTTTCGGCCGATCTTGACGCTGTAAGGCCCGAAATCGTCACATGCCGTGTGGTAAAATGGTGGGGTGTAGGGCGCTAGGCGAAGTGCTGGTAAATCTGCCATCAATTGTGTTTCCGTCTTATGTGCCATTTCTTTACAGAATCCATATTTGAATTTGACTGACTTGCTTAACTCCATTGCCTTTAGGATCCAATACTTCACTCTAATATTTGCAGTTGTAGCAGCTACTCCGCTATGCCCGTGTTGATGGGCGTGCCTCGTTGTTAACACAGAGATCCAATGATCACTCGGCAGAAGTGCGGGGTGTCTGGTCTCATAGAATACAACGGCTTTGTCTAATCTCCCTCCCACTCTGATCACGCGGTGTCCGTCAACGAATGGGCTCAGTGCCCTAAACTCTCCTTTCTTGACTCGACTATGCAAGGACTTCTGGGATTTCTTGATCCAGAAGATTTCAGCGCCTTGCGATTCCTCGGGTGAAAGCGGGCCTTCTCTTCCTTCTTGGTTCTGCCCTCTTGCCCGTATCTTGTTAGCTAGCCTTTGAATGCGAGCTGTTACTCTAACAAGATTTCTCCAACTCGAGAAAGTCTTCGGGTTTATGGCTTCATCTATGTTCTTTACTTCGCAAACTATCTTTACTTGTCGACGCTCCAAGTCTTCCTCCCCAACTGGCTTATCTGCTTCTTGCGGCCAGAGCTCCTCTGGCTTTTGTAAAAACTCTGGTCCGTGGCTCCATCGCCCGCTTAGGTCGTGTACGGGTATTCCTCTTGAAACGTCATCAGAAACATTATTTTCATCAGGGATGTGATACCATTAACTCGGGTCCGAGTTACTTTGAACTTCCCACTCGCGACGAAACAAATGGCTTGAAATTGCGTGATGGGCTCTGTATCCAGGCACGTGTGATTGTGCTGTCCGTGAAGAATTTGACAGCCTTGAACTTTATCCTGGATTCTTCTTGAATGGTTTTAGCTAACCGAGACGCTAAAACGGCTGCTTGTAACTCTAGGCGGGGTATGCTTAGCTGCTTTAAAGGTGCTACTCGTGATTTTGCGGTGATAAGTCTGACTTGATACTTCTCCTCACTTATTTTCTGTCGGCTGTAGACGCAAGCTCCAAAGGCATGCTGGGATGCATCGGAAAATACGCAGAGCATTGGAGGTTCTTCTGAATCAGCAAGCGTTAAACTGCAAGGAAACTGGACCCTTCTCAAATCCTTCATATCTCGAAATATATCTTTCTACTTCACACGAGCGGCTAGTGGGGGCTCTTCGTCCCAATCAACTCCTACTTGCCATAGTTCTTGTAATCCGATCTTTGCTCTGATAAGGAAAGCGGCAGCGAGCCCTAAGGGGTCATAAACCTGAGCGACTTGAGTGAGTAAAACCCTCTTCGTTAGTTTTCCTTCGGAAAGAGGTTGTCCGCTCCCGATCACGTGATATACCGCGTTAGAGGTGACGCTGAACGTGAGTGTGTCCTCTTGATTATTCCATGCCATTCCCAGGACTTTCTCTGCAACATTTCCTCTAAATACCGCCATTTCCGATCGTTTCTCAACCTGAGCATGGTCTTCAAGCGATTTGTTCGAAATCCAACGTTTAACCTTGAAGCAACCTGTCTTTAGATATATGTCGAGATTCTCTGCCATTTGTTTTGCTTCAGTGACAGTGTTGACCGAGTTACAAATGTCGTCCATGTATGTGTTCTTGTGGAGAACTTCTGCTGCTTCTGGATAGACGGACCGGTTTTCTTCCGCGGTTTTCTTTAAAGCAGTTTGTGCCATTGCTGGAGCGGGCTTATCTCCAAAGGTGAGCACTGTTTTTATGTAAACATCAGGTTCTCGATGGGTTTCTAAATTTCGCCATAAAAATCGGTTGACATGCTGATCTTGAAGTGGAATCATTATTCGATGGTACATCTTGGAGATGTCTCCGAGCAAAGCGACTTCCCTTTCTCTAAACCTTAGCAGCACCCCAAATAAACTGTGTAGTAGATCTGGACCTTTCATCCAGTAGTCGTTGAGCTTATGACCTTGGAAAAGAGACGAAGAGTTGAACACTATTCGAACGGGTGTACTTGTATTTTCCGGTCTCAAAATAGTATGGTGTGGAATGTAGTGGACTGGACCCTTAAATTCCTCTAGATCCGCTTACGACAGCTTCCTGCAGAAGTTCATATCGAGCATTTCTCTTATTTTTTTGTCATAGGACTCGGCATGATCTGGACTGGACTTCACGCGGCGCTCTGTTGCATCTAATCTTTTTAATGCCAGCGACTTGTTGTCAGGAAGAAGGTCCGGGTTCCTTCTCCACGGATACGGCATGATCCACTGCGCTCAAACTTTCTCGCAAGAACTGCTTATCACTTCAGCCTCCTCCCTTTCCACTTGACTCAGCTTATCGGCGTCACATACACATGGTTTCACTTTGACTCCCATGGTTTCTGTTGTCCAGAAGTGTGTCAGGTCAACTGGCGCTGAGTGCTTCACAAAGAGTATTCAACTGCTTGACGGAACCGTTCCTGTGGGACCTCCGAACACTACCCACTTCAGGGGCGTCTTCCTAGCAACGATTTGTCCAACTGGTTTCGTTTGAGCAGTATGAATATGCGCATGGTCTATACCAATCAGCACGTCAATCTGTCCTTTTCCTCTATGGATCTTTTCGTTTGGTACACAAAGGAGGTCAGAAAGCTTTGATGTTTGAACTGCTGTGACATCGTCGCCAATACTGGGATTCCAATAGCTTTTACTGAATACTTCCGGGTGTCGTTCAAAACATTCACAGGAACTCGATACTCCTTCGTTTCAATCGTTTCCTCTCCACCTCCAACTTTAGTTATGGTGACTGGAGTATCCCTGCCCTTCAGCCCTAACACTTCAGCTGTGTCAATGCAAATCAAACTGATTTGCGCTCCGGTATCGAGCAGAATATTGCCACGTTTGAAGACTCCGTTTTGGCCACAAAGGTTTGCGGAGATTACAGGCAGAAGTACTCCTTGACCTTCCGTGAATGCGGCTATTCCTGCTCTGATCACATGACTCTTATGCAAAAGTGGATGATGGAAGTGTTGGCACTGTTCTCCCCTCTCTGTGTTGGCGCAGCGTTCTTTACGACTGCAGTTTTCCAATCTGTGCTCTCTGCCGGCTCTCTTCAAA